GATATTATTACATTCATAGGAGCAACATATGCAGAAATTAACGCTTAATTTAATGACATTAAAACAAATCAGCCGTTTCTGCTCAAATATTTTCTTGTTGTGTTCTCAGTTTCCAAACTCAGCATCTCTTCATCCTTATTTTGAAGTTTTCAGATTTCCTCTTGGAGATTTTGACTGAATCTGATGAAACTATTAAGCCTCTCGGTATAAAATAATGATTTTGATGGAGATGAGAAATCTGCTTCCTGGTCTGTTGAAGAACCGATAGTTTGCATCCAACATTTAATTAAACCGTCTCAGTTTTGGGGAATATATAAGAATTATGCTCTAATTTGTAGTTGCAGATCTGTCGTCACTATATTTTAATTTGACAAACCGGATTTTCTCTCCGTTCTTTTTCCTTGTTGTTCTTTGCCTGATTATTGTGATTTCAAAGGATCTGGACCGGAGCTAAAAATACACTCCTAATCAAAATCTTAAGACCAGTCAAAAAATTGCAAGAATTAGCATTTTGCTTCACAATGTTAAAAGAAAAAATCAGCGTAAGAGACAAAACTTTTGAGCGGGAAATTAATTGAAAACTGCATTTACACTCAAACATTTTTTTTTCAGCTGATCAAAAGTTTAAGACCATAGCTCAAAAAAACCCCGAAAACAGAAATGAAAGCGTCAAAAAAGGACTCAGTAATGAGCAGCTCCACCGTTCCCGTTAATGACTTCAGTCGTTTAGGCATGCTGGATGCCAGTGTTTCCAGGAGGCTGGTGGGAACGTTGCTCCAAGTGTTGAAGATGGCTTCATGAACGGCAACCACTGTCTGGAACTGATGTCTATTTTTGTAAACTTCCCTCGCCATCCATCCCCAAATGTTCTCAATTGGGTTTAGATCGGGGGAACATGCAGGATGGTCCAAACGAGAGATGTTATTCTCTTGGAAGAACTCCTTTGTCAGGCAGGCGTTGTGAACTGCAGCATTACCACCCAGACGAGGCCAATAGTGCAAAATGCAAATTCTTGCAAATTTTTTGATCAGGAGTGTAGCTGTGCTCCATATTTTGCCGCAGGTAGATGGTGAAGTTTGAAGGATTGGCGGCAGATGTGGAACAGTGCTCATTGGTCAACATGACAGACAAGTTCTCCGCATGACGTAGGTGGGCGGGGCAGAGACGGAGGATGTGGAATCTGGGGGTTATTGCTCCTCGTCTGCAGAAACCTGTTGATCATCACCTGAATGATGCAAAAAGGAAACACCTTAAACCTGCAGGACAGGCGTCCATGAGGAGCAAACCTGTAGCGTAAAAAGTCTCCCTCTGCGGTTTTGGATCCCGTCCGCTCTGTAAACTCTCTGTCCTTCTTCCCCAGAAATCGGCGACATCGCCGGCGTCGCCGACGTCACCATCAGACAGTCCTACAGACTCATCTATCCGCGCGCAGCAGAACTTTTCCCTCCGGACTTCAAGTTCGACACGCCTGTGGACAAACTGCCTCAGCTGTGAAGCAGGCTCCGCCTCCTTTTCCTCTGCTGTTCCGTTTTTACGTTGGTTTACGATGCAAACCCGTTTGTTTTGGTCAGATGAAGCCTTTCTGGAGGCGGACAGGGACACAGCAAACATTCCAGGGCTTAAACGAACCGCCTGTACTTTGCAGTATTTCATTTGACTGTATATATATACACTCTACCATGTATATATGTCCAAGTGGGGAGGATTTAAAAAATGTGACGCTTGCAGTTTTAGGCTTTTTTTCATACTGAGCACTTCGTTTTGTAGAAAATTTGCCAGGTTCTATTTTGTTTGAAATGTCTCAAGTAATTTAAGAATAAAAGATTTTCAATTTGTGGTTTGTTCTACAAAAATAAAAACAGTTTAGAAGATATAATGAACCGTCTGGATTATTCATCTCAGCAGTGAAACAAACCAACATTACAAACGTTTAATCTGTAACAGCGACTGCAGAGACGTCCTGAACATTTTACACCAGGATGAATGAAAACATGTGATTCGGGTCGTTGGTACCGTCCGTACAGTCCGACAGCGGTTCTGGAAACATGCACATTTAAAAAACACTTTTTACAATCTATGTTCATAATTAAGAAATGTAGATAAACTATTGATCAAATTAGTGCTTTCAGTTTACCTGTTTACATACAGTATGCGTGTAAAATATACCCCCCCCCTGTAGTGATTCATACGCAGGTTGAAACATGCAAACTGCTGGAAAAACAACATTTCTGTAGGAAGCACTGGATTTAAAATAAACTAGATGTAGTGTCGTCTGATAAAAGTGTAAATGCGCAGGTTTGGTGTGCACTGAGGTATCATTAGGAATTATAGAAACCAGACT